AAACTCAATTTTATAATTATATTATTTTAAATTATGGATGTTGTCAATCGATCAAACTCAATAATAAAAAATTCAATTTTACAATTATATTATTTTTAATTATAGATGTTAGTATGGAACAAGACTAATAATGAAAAATCCAATTTCGCAATTATATTATTTTAAATTATGGATGTTGACAGTAGGTCAAACCCAATATTAAAAATTTAATTTTGCAATTATATTATTTTAAATTATGTATATTGACTTTGTGTCAAATCTAATAATGAAAATTTTAATTTTTCAATTATATTATTTTAAAATTATTGATGTTAATTACATGTCATGTTTAATAATAAAATATTCAATTTTACAATTATATTATTTTATATTGTAAAGATTAACGGTGGGTCAAACTCAGTAATAAAAAATTTAATTTACAATTATATTATTTTTAATTAAGGATGGAGCTCGTGGGTCAAGTCCTATAATAAAAATTTTGATTTTTCAATTATATTATTTTAAATTATAGATGTTGATTGTATGTTATGCCTTATAATGAAAAATTCAAATTTGCAAGTATATTGTTTTAAATTATATAGGTTGACTGTGGGTCAAACCAAATAATAAAAAATTCAATTTTATAATTACATTATTTGAAATTGTAGATGTTGATTGTGGGTAAGGTCCAATAATGAAACATTCAATTTTGCAAATAATGAAAAATTCAATTATATTATTTCAAATGGGTTAAGCCCAATAATGCAAAATTCACTTTGGCTGTTATGTTATTTTCAATTATGAATGTTAACTGTGTATCAAACCCAATAATGAAAAATTGAATTTAGTAATTTTATTATTTTAAATTATGAATGTCGACTTTGGATCAAGTCCAATAATAAAAATTTCAATTTTGTAATTATATTATTTTAAATTATAAATGTTGATTGTGGGTCAAGCCCAATAATCAAATTTTTTATTTTATAATTATATTATTTTAAATTATTGATGTTGACCGGGGTAAAACTCAATAATGAAAAATTCAATTTTTAAATTAATGAAAAATTCAATTTTGCAATTATATTATTTTTAATTATGGAAGCTGACTGTGAGGCAAGCCCAACAGTAAAAAATTCAATTTTGCGAATACAGTATTTTAAATTATAAATATTGACCGTTGATCAAAATCAATAATTAAAAAATCAATTTTGTAATTATATTATTTTAAATTAAAAATGTTGACCGTTGATCAAAATCAATAATGAAAAATTCAATTTTGATATTATATTATTTTAAATAATGAATTGGCTCAAGTCCAATAATGAAATTTTCAATTTTTCAAGTACATTATTTTAAATTATAAATATTGACCGTTGGTGAAGCCAAATAATAATTAAAAAAAATTCAATATTGCAATTATATTATCTTAAATTATATAGACTTCGGGTCGAACCTAATAATAAAAAATTCAATTTTGTAATTATATTATTATAAATTATTGATATTAATTACGGGTTCAAGCTTCACAAAAAAATATTCAATTTTACAATTATATTATTTTAAATTATGAATGTGTGCTATTGGGTCAAGCCCAATAATGAGAAATTAAATTTTGCACTTATATTATTTTCAATTGTAGACGTTGACTGTGGATAAAACCCAATAATAAAAAATTTAATTTTACATTTATATTATTTTTAATTATTGATGGGGGCTCGTGGGTCAAGTCCAATAATGCAAAATTTTGCTTCATGTTCATTGAGTAATTATATTATCTTAAATTATATATAGGGGATCGTTGGTCAAACCCAATAATGATAAATTATATTTTACAATTATTTTATTTTATATTATGGATGTTGACTATGGGTCAAGCCCAATAATGAAATATTTAATTTTGTAATTATATTATTTTAAATTATAGATATTGACTGTGGGTCAAACCAAATAATGAAAATTTCAATTTTGCAGTTATATTATTTTAAATTATAGATATTGACTGTGGGTCAAACCAAATAATGAAAATTTCAATTTTGCAGTTATATTATTTTTAATTATAGATTTGGCTCGTGTGCTAAACTCAATAATAAAAAATTCAATTTTGCAATTTTGTATTTTAAATTTTGGATGTTGACTGTGGATTAAGCCCACTTAAAAAAATTCAAAATTTTCAATTATTATTATTTTATATTATTGATGTTGATTTTGGTTCAAACCAAATAATGATAAATTATATTTACAATTATATTATTTTATATTATAGATGTTGATTGAGGGTCAGTAATGAAACATTTAATTTTGTAATTATATTATTCTAAATTATGGATGTTGACAGTGGATCAAAACAAATAATGAAAAATTCAACTTTGCAATTATATTATCTTAAATTATATATGGGGGATCGTTAATCAAACCCAATAATGATAAATTATATTTTACAATTACATTATTTTATATTATGGATGTTGACTGTGAGTTAAGTACAATAATAAAATATTTCATTTTGTAAATATATTATTCTAAATTATGGATGTTGACTGTGGGTCAAACTCAGTAAAAAAAAAATCAATCTAACAATAAAATTATTTTATATTATACATATTGATTGTGGGTCTAGACTATTAAGAAAAGTTTTCAATTTTCAATTATATTATTTTAAATTATGAATATTGACTATGGGTCAAGTTCAATAATAAAATATTCAACTTTGTAATTATATTATTTTAAATTATGGACGTTGAGTGTGGATTAAACCTATTAATTAAAAAAATTGCAATTATATTATTTTAAATTATGGATGGAGGCTTGTTGGTAAAACTCAATGATGAAAATTCAATTTTACAATTATATTATTTTAAATTATGGATGCTAACTGTGAGTCAAGGCCAATAATAAAATATTTAATTATGTAATTATATTATTTTAAATTAAAAATGTTGACGGTGGGTCAAGGTCAATAATAAAAAAATTCAATTATGCAATTATATTATTTTAAATTAGTGAAATGGGCTTGTTGGTCAAACCCAATAACGAAAAATTCAATTTTACAATTATATTATTTTAAATAATAGATATTGACTATTAGTCAGGCTTGCAATTATATTATCTTAGATTATATAGGGGATCGTTGAACAAACTCAATAATGATAAATTATATTTTACAATTATATTATTTTATATTATGGATGTTGACAGTGAGTCAAACCCAATAATAAAATATTTAATTTTATAATTATATTATTTTTAATTATGAATGTTGATTGTGGGTTATGCCGAATAATGAAAAATTAAATTTTGCAGTTATCTTGTTTTTAACTGTAGATTTGACTCGTGGCTAAGCTCAATAATAAAAGGTTCTATTTTGCAATTTTGTGTTTTTAACTGTGGGTCAAGCTAAAAAAAAATAAAAAAAAAATCAATAATTCCAACACTCAATCTTGCTATATCTGTTTGATTTACTTCTGCCTTTTGGTTTGCCTCTTGACCTCTACTTTTGCTTCTATCCCTTTTTCGGTGACCAAAACTTTTGATTGATGAGAGCCTTGCGATTTTCTTCTCGTTTCCTCATTTAACATGTTGCCCTTAACCAAGTCCATTGTAATGGTACCATCAGAGGTTGAATTTGACAAAGATGTCCTAAAAGTCTCTCACGAATCCGGAAATGTACCAAGCAACCATAATCTTTGTACTTCAGCTTCAAACTTGATATTCATTCCTGCCAATTGGTTAATGATCCTTGAAATGAATTCAAGTGATCAGTCATACGGGTGCCGTCTCTGTATTTTAGATTCATCAACTGCTTGATCAGGAATAATTTATTATTCCCATTTTTCCTTGCATATAATTGCTCCAACTTCTCCCATAGTGACCGTGCATTTGTTTCTCCCTAACATGGTTCAAAACATTATCATCCACCCACTGCTTATTTAACCACATACTTGCCGATGTATGATATTCCATTCGACATCACTTTTATCCTCAGGCTTGTCAGTTTCGAAAACTGGTCGATAGAAATCTTTCACATATAGAAGATCCTCCATCTTTCCCTTCCATACAAGATAGTTTGAATCATTAAGATTCACCGTTCTACTTGTATTCGTTTTCATATTCACCACAAGAAATAAAACATAAACCTCACTCTGATACCACTTTGATGGGACTAATGCTCGTTAAAGTACGAATTATCCCCTTGTGTGAATATGGTAGGAAACAATAACAATAGAATAATCACTCTGAAAACGTAATGCAACCAATCAACAAAGACATGAGCAATTTTACGCGGAAAACCTCCTCGATGTGAGGAGTAAAAACCACGGGACTGAAGTCCACAAAATCTCCCCTATAATAAAAAATGGGGTACAAATCGTTCAACACAAAAATCAACCCAAGTTCCGACTCACAAGATATAACACCAATCTTGTCAACGAATATATAAGTGAATAGAAAACTCACAAGCAGTACCCTTCTGTTCAGACCCAAATACTCGATGATCCAAAACTCTAATCACGAGCTCCACCTTTCATAATTTACTCAACGATGTCCCCAACAACATACTCAAATTCCAGCCTGATCCAACGGTTAGATCTTCCGATTCGATATCAATACCGAAACTAGTCCGAAAAAATCCGGGAGGGAACAGAGCTCTCTGTTTGTGTCTGTATCAGAACTTGTGATGTTCCGACTCCGATCTCCACCGTTCAGAATGTAGAAATATGAGTGACAAACCTTCTGCGTAAATTTGGGGACGATCCGACGGTTGAAAATTCATAGATCGTCGTTTTATCAGAGATTGCGCACACGGAGAGCAAAGTGGCAGCTGCACCTTTTTTTAATCACTCTCTCTGATCCTAATCCACTCAATATCAAATTTATACCTATGTTGATTATCCATATGTGAAGTTACCGAAATGCCCTTCGACTTTAAGGAAAAATAAGTCAACAATTTGGTATTGTACAGCGTAGAGTACAATTAAGAGCACTAGTGTGTGTGCATATATATATATATATTTGAGATTCCAAGCTTAAGTCAAATGGGCATATTAAGTTTCTTTTATTAAAAAAACAAAGAGTTGTAAGCAAAGGCAGCAGTGTGAGATGAGCCGATGTACGTACAGACAATACAATACAATACTTACTAAACAGGGCATCATCTTTTTTGTACATGACAAGACATGACATGAGAAGTGGGTTGGAAAAGCGGCAGTGGAAGCGGAGGCAGCTGGTGCCTGTAAGTAAGCAGAGTTAGTTAGTGCCGTCAGCCAGTCGGCAATTGAAGGACAAGCACAACAATTAATTAAGATTAATTAATCTGTTTGACGTCACCTCGTCCTTGGCTTTTTTGTTCAGTTTTAGTTTTTGTACTTGATGGTCTCTTTCTCGAACCCGATGGTCGGGAACTGCTTGGCGTACTCTTCCACACCATGCCGCAGTTTTGCAATCTCGGATTGGAAGGAACTGGACTCCATAGCCGTCACGAACTCCTTCAGCTTACTCCCTGCTTATTACAGATTACATTCCAAATGTTACAGCAAGGATGTAGATGTAGATGTAGATGTAGATGTAGTAGTCATCTCAAATCAACAACAACCTTTCGCCTCCGATTTTATCTTCACTGCAAGTTTCACTGCTGCATCGAACAACTCTGCAACCTTCACAAAATCCTCTTCGATGAACCCTCGAGAGGTCAGTGCAGGCGTTCCTGATGGGAAAATAAAGTAAATAGACCCAGCGGTGGTTTGTTTAGTCGTATAGTTAGTTACAGTATTGAAATTTGAAATTGGAGCAGAGCAGTCTCTCTACCCATCCTGATGCCACCGGGAACCATGGCGGATACGTCTCCGGGAACTGTGTTCTTGTTAGCCGCAATGTGGACAGCTTCCAAGACCTTTTCAACCCTGGATCCATCGATGCCCTAAACAAACAAAACATGAATGAATGAATGAAGAGTGTACGTGCTAGTGTAAGAAAGTAAAACCATGTCATGTCTTGTCTTGCCTTGTTTTTCAAGTTGACGAGAACAAGATGGTTGTCCGTTCCGCCTGACACAAGCTCGTACCCTTTCTCGCTAAGACTCTGCAATATTAACATTATTATTATTATAGCGCTTAAAGTTTAATTGCACTACTCAAGTTGATTCCAGGGCAGGGCAGAACCTGCGCAAACTTGGCGCAGTTGCTCAGAACTTGCTCTTGATAAGCTTTGTATTCTGGAGTAGTCGCCTGGAAACAAATCAAAATTAAAATAATGATGTATGTTTATCGATGAAAATAGCTTATTCGGAAAACAAACAAACATACCATATCATATCATTATCATATTAGAATGAAATGGATGGAACCTGTTTCAATGCAACTGCCAAGCCGGTGATGGTATGATTGTGCGGACCGCCTTGAAGCCCCGGAAAAACAGCTTGATTGATCTTATCTTCATAGTCATACAAAACCTTGGAGGTTTTTATATATATGTATATATGATATGATGGAGTCAAAGCTTACATTTCAAAATTTGATTTTGCCAAATTCAGGATCGACTCGATTCGACTGACTAACCTCTTTGCCTTGTTTGTTGATCTCTTTGACACCCTTCCGGTAAAAAATCATGGCTCCACGAGGGCCACGGAGCGACTTGTGTGTAGTGGTCGTCACAACATCTGCATAATCAAATGGCGACGGGATGACTCCACCTGCAACCAATCCACTGATGTGTGCCATATCTGCAAGCAAAATTGCTTTCTGCTTGTCGCAGACCTGCCAAAAGTCATCTCAAATTCAGGCTCAACTATCAATCAATACTACATACATATCATATCTCATGTCAATGTCAATGTCAATCTCAGGGACATCCTACCTTCCTAATGCGATCGTAATCGTAGAGACGAGCATATGCGCTGGCACCCGCAACAATTAATTTTGGCCTGAACAGTACAGCACTCTTCTCCAGCTGCGCGCGCAAATAAAGGAAGATAGCAGCACAGCAGAGCAGAGCAGAGTTCAATATGCTGTTTGTTAGTGTTCACTTCAACAGTTTTGTTTCGAAAGCTTAAACCCCACTCACCTGATCATAGTCGATTAACCCCGTGCTTTCATCCAATCGGTATGGCATTGTCTCAAAGTATATAGAAACAGCAGAAATCTTCTTTGTGTCGGTCTGTACGTACAAACATAAGAGAGTAAAACAGAGTCCTTAACAAATAAATTTGTGAGAATCAAATCAATAATATAAAGAACAGAGGATTTGTTTGCTTTTTGAAAAAATTTCGACATATTTCCCCAAAAAATTAATATATTACGCGCACTTATTATTTTTATATTCCTTACATAATTCATGCAATTTATTCATGTCAATAATTTAGCCCGCATCAAGTACAGCTGCACACAATTCTAGCATTTAGTTCGAGACTTTGAACTCAAGCTCAAGCTAGTAAAATCAAGTTGAGTCGAGTTCGAGCCACGAAATACATGGCTCAGTAGCTTACAATATGGCTGAATTTTATTTATCTTCCTAAGAAATAATGTTACTAATGTAGTTAAAGTTTGTTGGCGGTTTATTGTGTTTTCGACCACTTGTTTTCATTACTCATTTATGGTAATTTATTTTCTTTCTAAAAAAAATCAGATCATACTTTTATTTTATGTTAAATACATCAAATCAAACATTTGTTTTATATTATATTAATCACTAATTTCAATTCAAAATTTTATTATTTGCAAAAAACACAACCAAACAAACTAGGCTTTTTTAATTAAAAATAAGGTAAAATTGCTCATAACTCCTATGTGGTTTCGAAATTCTCCGTAAAATCTCTCTGTACATTAAAAATTGCATGACACTCTCTTATATTTTAGAAAACGTTGCATGAAACTCCATCCCTACGAAACCTCCATTGTTTGATGGGATGATGATTTTTTATCCATATTTTTTGCATGGCGGGGGTTTCATGCAATATTTTTTAAAGTATAAAGGGACATCATGCAATTTTTTTAAGTAAAGTAAAGATCTACACTGAGTTTCGAAATCACAGTGATTTCATGCAACTTTTGTAAAGTGTAAAGAGGCTCTATGCATTTTTTAAAATAAATGGAAGATTTAAGATTTCGAAACTACAAGAGAGATTTGGACAATTTTATAATAAAGTTTTTAAAGACAATTTCAGCTTGAGTAGGTTCAAATTTTAGCTTTAATATTGAGAACTAATTGAGCTCAAGTCCATTAAAATCAAGCCTATTTTAGCTTCATTTCAAATAAAGTTGAACTTGACTCGACTAGACTCTATTTGCAACCATAGTGAAAATACTTTATGCATGCAACAGGAAATAAACTCCGAAAAATGAAAAGGTGCATTATTATGCTTATTTAACTCGAAAGATGTATTGTGCTTGCAAGAAAACCAGAAAACAAAGTGTATCAATACTCTACCTTAGCAATGGAACACAGCATACGAATTCTTGAATTCATTTGTATTGTTAAATGACACCAATGCATATACATATACATATATATATATATACATGTATTAACCAGTACTTGTGTCCTTGATTGTAAGTAGAAAACTTAGAAACATAGTTGTCAATCTTGGATGGTATTAGTTAACAGTCAACCTCTAAAATACTAGGATAGTCGATAGCGGCATAATCCCTATTTAAAAATTTAAGAATATATATAAGAATTATTATACATACAAATTTACAATAAAAATACATTAAAAAAAAAAAAGAAGATTAATTTCATAATTATTATTCAAGTCAATAAATTGCAAAATATATATAGCATAGTTCATAGATAGTTATATAAACAAAAACAATTAAATCACTACTTTTATGGATATATAATCAAAGTTAACGGGATTCAAAATCTAATAAATAATTTTCTTCCCCATTTCTATGATTTCATCATGCTCACAGCTGCTCTTGTACAAATTTTCATATTCTTCAGCTTCTTCATTTTCATTTATTTTTTCCATTGCACAATGTTTTTCTTTTCTAGAACTAGAAGAAGCTATAGTATAGTATATAGACTCCACATTTACTAAATAATAAATATAATACTCCGTACGTTGCGGTTTTGGATGAAATTATTTTTGGTGTGTGATAGTGAAAATTGTGTCAAAAATATATTATTTTACATTGAATATTGCATTTTAAATTATTTTTAATGATTTTTTGACTTTTTATATTGGGTATTTTGACTTTTGGACTTTTAAATAAAAATTTTGTATTTTTTATTATTATTTATGAGGAATTGCAATTGAAAAATGAGGTTGAAAGAACTGAACAAATATTTTATATGATAAAATTATAACTCTTTATCAGCTTGTTTATCAGCTTGTAGGCGTTATATTTATTTTTTATATCATTGTATTTTACACTAAAAAAATATATATATTTTTATATTTATATAAATGTTTTACAAATGTCATTACATTAGTATTATAGATACTAAAAGAAGTATTTACAGCTTTTTTTACTATATTTTGATATAATAATTAATATTTAAATATTAACGCATAAAAAATAGATGTGCCTTTAAAGCTGTACGGGCTGCTGACAATTATGGTTAAAAAGTGATACTTGTGTATTAGAACATAAAATGGAGGAAAGCAGTCGAGTCGAGATGCACATGCACCTGATAACCGTGAGAGAGATGGCCTCCATGAGGAAGATCGAGCGCCATGATTCGGTCATGTGGTCTAAGTAAAGCTGTGTAAACCTGAAAGTTTGCGGGAGATCCAGACAGAGGCTGCACATTCACTGCAATACATAACTATTTGTTAGTTATCGAAACCTCGTAGATTCAAGAATTGATTAATACAATCCGTGAATTCTTCCTTCCTTCCATCCATCCATCATATTGTTATTACTATGATTATTATTATTACCTCCCCATTTTGCAGGGTCCAAACGGAAAGCTTCCAGTGCACGCTTCTGGCACAGTGTTTCAGCCATGTCGATGTACCTGAACCATCCAAGAAAGACCATTCCATCGAAATAAATCTTCAACTACAATTGAACCAATTATTGCATTGAATAGCATATACACCAAACCATCGATCAACTCACTCGTTTCCTCCATAGTATCTAGCACCGGGATACCCTTCACTGTACTTGTTGGTCATAACCGAACCAACTGCTTGCATCACAGAGGCAGACGTGAAATTCTCGGATGGAATCAGTTCAAATCCCTACATCCAATTCAAAAACGCCATTAACAACGAGGAAGAAGAAAACCAAACCAAACCAATCTCACGTGGCATACCTTCCATTGACGAGCCTTTTCCAGCTCAATAATGTCGGCAATCTCAGGATCAACGACTTCCAGTGGAGCATTCAGCTGCTTCGGCCACTGCACATTTCACTCCAAAAACTTCACAAACAAACAAAGACAAAAAGAAACAAAAAACGAACTCACTACTTTTAGTTCAATCAATAGGTCGAACAGTTGGTAGGCATACCGTGACGCCATTCTTCTCCCTCTCGTACACAGCTTCGTTGGGCAACGACGACTGCAGAACACCAAAAACGTCGCCGTATTAGTCTGGAACAAAATCCAAAAACGAACAAGAAGAGCTAAACATAATAGAATGGGACCATGTAGTAGAGAGAACCGCCGCGCTTGATCGGCTGCTGCTTGTCAATGTAGGAAGAAAGCCTTCTGACGGCCATCGCCAACGCCATTCTCGTTCTTCCTTCCTTCCTTCTATCTCTCTCTCCTCTATGCTCTGTCTGTGAGCAGAAAGGTTGCACTTGCGCATAGAAAGAGGGTAGGCGGGCATGGCATGGGTGTGTGTATGGGCTACGGCTCTTGTGGGTGAGGTTTTGGGTGGTGGAGAAAAATCGTCAATAATTCTGGTCGACCATAGTTGGAATTAGATTTATCCACTCCCAAGTCCCACCCAAAATAATTGGATTCCATTGAACCGAGGAAGACGACGTCGATTCTGCAGGCGTCACCAAACCATGGCCAGTAGATGTAAATCAATGAGTGTTTGATTTTTACGAATAGTTAAATTTCTCAAAATCGATTTTGAAACAAACACACCCTAATTTAATTGATTGCCACACGAAAATCCAACTGATCTTTGGGCCTCGCATTAGCAAGCCTAGAAGCCCTATAAGGGTTTTTTTGCATTTGTTTTTTTTCTAAAAATACACGTATTGTTATGACTCTTTACTTAGGTGTGTTTTTTTTAGGGGAGATAGGGAAAAATTAAGTTTGAGTTTGGTTTTTATTTGAATTTTGGGATGCGTTTAAATTTTATTGTTTTTTTTGTGTTTGGGTTTGGTTGGGGTTTAGAGAGTTTTGATGTGTATTGATTTGATGAATAATAAATAAAATAATATAAATGTGTATTAAATTTAATTGATAACATTTATATTGTATAATTTGATTATAAATTTATATTATACTAAACATATATATATTTAAATTTTTATTTATTTGTATTATAGAAAATTTTATTCTCTACAGAATGACATATATATTGTGTATATATTTTTTTCATTTAATTATAATAAATATTAAATAATATTTTAATTTAAATATATAAATAAAAATAAAAGCATATCTGCACATTGTGGGCGGATTGGTGGACAAACCCAATGTTTGCACAGTAAAAACCCCAAATTTAAGGTTGGAGAAACAAATCCTAAGATAAGTGTCATTATTTTGTATAAATATGTGGCAATTGATGATGAGTAATATTATGTAATATTGCTTATAAATAGGCTTTATGAGAAATGAATTTGCATTCATTTATTTCTCTCCTCTCTAGATAAAAAGTCCAGCAAGGGATGACGCGGTGGTGTGGGGTTGTACGTGTGACCGTAAGGTTATGGGTTCAAACCCCCGACGTCTCAGGTCACCTGTCACACATGATTCGCCTAGTGTGATTTATCTGTCGGACTTAGTTTACAGTGCTGCCAAAACTTTACTCGGGACAGTGCATCAATATGAAGATGTTTGCTCAAAAATGAAGTTAATAACTAGACCATCACCAGCAAAAGTGGGAATTGAATCCCCTACATTTTTTGAATGAATTCAGGGTGATATATGTGGGCCTGTAGATCCACCATATGGATTATTTCAATATTTTATGGTACTTATCGATGCATCTACTCGATGGTCGCATGTATGTTTATTATCCACCCGCAATTTGGCATTTGTGAGGTTGCTTGCTCAAATAATTAAATACGAGCTCAGTTTTCAAATCACCCAATAAAGAGAATTTGTCTTGGTAATGCTGGTAAATTTTCATCTAAGACATTTGATGATTATTGCATGTCTACTGGAATTGACATTGAAAATTCTATACCTCATGTACATACTCAAAATGATCTAGCTAAATCGCTTATAAAAAGGTTGCAATTAATTGCAAGATTTGATGAAATCTAGACTTCTCGTATATGCTTGGGGACATGTAATTATGCATGCAGCAACACTGAATAAAATTGAGACCGACAAGCTATCATAGTTACTCCCTATTACAATTGGTGTATAATGAAAAGCTCAATATATCATATTTGCAAACATTTGGGTGCGCAGTTTATATGCTAGTAGCACCGCTCAACGCACAAAAATGGGCCCCTAGCAGAGATTGGGGATATATGTCGGATACGAATCACCATCTATAATTAGATATCTTGAACCATAAATTGGTGATTCGTTTACGACTCGTTTTGCTGGTTGTCATTTTGACGAGTCACAGATCTTGAAATTAGGGGGAGAAACTAATCAACTGAAAAAAAAAAAAAATCACTTGGAAAATATCATTCATTTTTCTTGATCCATGTACAAGTCAACATGAATTAGAGGTGCAAAGAATTTTATATTTGCAGCGAATAGCAAATTAGTTGTCTGATCTTTTTGTAATACCAACAGGGTCACTAGATCTTATATAGCTGCTGAAAATGTATATGCTAAAATTTTTAGTCCTGAATAAAAAATACAAAGTGCTAATGAATCAAATGCATGCCTAAAGCGTGATAGACCTTTAGGTTCGAAAGAAAAAAATCCTCGAAAGATAAAAATCCTCAAAAGATAAAAAAAATGAAAGGGTTGAGTATTTCAATATTAATCAAAATCCTCAAAAAACGGGTAGTAACATGGATCATATTTCTAAAGAAATTGATCCTGAAAAACTTGTTGGGGATGTTAATCCTAATAGAATTTCAATGAAAGGGTTGGAGATTTCAATGTTAATCAAAATTCTCAAGAAACGGATAGTAACATGGATCATATTTCTGAAGAAATTTATCCTGAAAAACTTGTTGGGGATATTAATCCTAATAGAATTTCTTCTGAAGAGAATGAAATTATTGAAAATTCAATAAATTATGTTACTAGTAGAAAGCATTGGAACCGAAATGATACAATTATGGATAATGCTTTTACGTATAATGTAGCACTTGATCTAATCGAAAATGACGAGAATCCAGAACCTAGATCAGTTGATGAATGTTGGAAAAGAATAGATTGGTCAAAATGGAAAGATGCGATCCAATCCGAGTTAAATTAACTGGCAAAACAGAAATTTTTTGGATCCCTATTAAACACCTGAAGATATTAAGCATATTGGCTCTAAATAGGTATTTGTTCGAAAGCGAAATAAGAATAATGAAATTTCCTGATATAAAGCAAGACTTGTTGCCCAAGGTTTTTCACAAAGACCTGAAATTGATTTTAATGAAACATATTCTCTAGTAATAGATGAAATAACATTTTGATATCTTGTCAGTTTGGCAGTACATAAAAATTTGGATATGCGTCTGATGGACGTCATAATTGCCTATTTATATGGCTCGTTGAATAGTGATATTTACATGAAAATCTCTGAATGTTTTAGTATGCGTGATGCATACAAATCAAAGCCAAAAGAATGTTATTATATTAAATTACAAAATTTTTTTATGGGCTTAAGCAATTTGGTCGCATGTGGTATAATCGTCTTAGTGAATCATTATTGAAAGAATGATATGCCAATGATTTTGTTTTCCCATTTGTTTTTATAAAGAAAGATGGGGGGGAATTTTGTGATCATAGCTATTTATGTAGATGATTTGAATATAATCGGAACCCATTAAGAGGTTAAAGAAACTATTGAATACTTGAAAAGGGAATTCGAAATCAAAGATTTCGGGAAAATGAAATTCTGTCTTGGTCTACAAATTGAACATTTAGAAAATAGAATTTTGATCAATCAATTTGCATATACCCAGAAGGTATTGAAACGATTTGCAATGGATAAAACACATTCATTAAGAACTCCAATGGTCGTTAGAACTCTCGATCCTATCAATGATCCTTTTAGACTAAAACAGGAGAGTGAGTAAGCACTTGAACCTGAAGTACCATATTTAAGTGCTATTGACACACTAATGTATCTGGTTAACAGTACAAGACCATACATAGAATTTGTTGTAAATTTATTAGCAAGATTTAATGCAATGCCAACACAACGATATTGGAAAGAGATTAAACATATTTTTTGTTATTTCCGAGGAAAGATTGATCTTGGTTTATTATATTAAAATAAATCTTGACATGAATTGATTAGATATGCAGATGTTGGGTATCTTTCTTACCCGTATAGAGCCAAGTCTCAGACTTGCTATATATTTACATGCGGCGGTACATTGGTATCCTGGAGATCCACTAAACAAATAATAACCGCAACTTCTTCGAATTATGCTGAAATAATAGCAATTCATGAGGCTAGTCGAGAATGTGTCTAGTTGAGATCAATGACTCACCACATTTTAAAGAATTGTGGTTTAAGATCTGAAAATGATAATCCTCATACTATTTTATATGAAGATAATGCAGCTTGCATAACGCAATTGAAATAAGGATATATCAAGGAAGATAGAACAAAATATATTTAACCTAATTTTTTCTTTACTCATGATCTTCAGAAAAATTGTGAAATAGATGTGTTGCAGATTTGATCCAATGAAGATTTAGCAGATTTATTGACTAAGATTTTACGGACTGCAACATTTAAGAAATTGATAAATATATTGGGATGCGTCGGTTGCGAGATTTCAAGTGATGTCCACATTAGGGGAGCAAGATTTCAAGTAATGTCCACATTAGGAGGAGTATTTTTAATGCATGAATATCGTACTCTTTTTCCTTCATTAGGATTTTTATCCCAATGGGTTTTTTCCTAATAAAGTTTTAACGAGGCGTATTCATTGCAGTTGATAACACCTAAGAAGGAGTGTTATGACTCATTAATTATTAGGATAGTTATTATTTTGTATAAACATGTGGCAATTGATGATGAGTAATATTATGTAATATTGCTTATAAATAGGCTTTATGAGAAATGAATTTTCTCTCTATGCACTCAATTTCGGCTCTATTTCTCTATCCCTCCTATTTTGTTTTTCTCTCTCTAGTATATATATATATATATTGATATAATAAATATATCTAAAGACATTTATTTGGACAAACTCACATATACACACACGACTTTATATATACATGTGTATACTTATATATTGTCATATATTTTATAACACATATTTTTTTTCTCTCATTTATCATATTCATACTATTATTTTTATGTGTTACACATTTAATGTTATTTTTCCTCTTTCGAATTAATCTATTGTAAATTTTTTAATTCTAATTAGATAAATTAATTATTTTAACTTTAATCTATAATTATTAATATTATAATTAAAATAATTATTTTACTGATACATTATTAATTATTTATTAATTATATTTCTCATAAATTTTTGTGTCTACAGTAATCCGGAAATAAAATTTGGAACGGATGGAGTA